TCCCACCTTACCCAGAGATATGGCTTTTCCCCTTACTTTTTTTTTTTTTTTTTTTTTTTTTTTTTTTTTAAGATATGTAGCCTAGACTGGCCTCAAAGTTACCGTCTAACCTAGGATAACCCTGAATGCCTCCTGCCTCCACTTCCTGATGCTGAGATTACCGGCATACACCACCAGGTTTATGCCATGCTGGTGTTCAAACCCAGGGCTCCAACTGACCTACATTACCAGCTTGATGACTCGTTGTTAAAAAGACAAATTCGCCCAGCGGTGGCACAGGCCTTTAATCCCAGCACTCGGGAAGCAGAGGCAGGTGGATCTCTGTGAGTTCAAGGCCAGCCTGGGCTACGGAGTGAGTTCCAGGACAGGCTCCAAAGCTGCACAGAGAAACCCTGTCTCAAAAAACCAAAAAAGTAAAATAAAATAAAAAGACAAATTTCCAGGACAAGTGTGAACTAAGGACTGTGACAGACATGGATTGAAATGTCATAAAACCCATTGTTTATGCTAACTAATAAATAGTTTTTAAGTACATAAATTTAGCACAGCAGGATGGCACATGCCTTTGACCCTAGCTCCAAGGAGACAGAGGCAAGTAGATCTCTGAATTTGAGGCCAGTCTGGAATACAAGGTGAGTTCCGGGCTAACCAGAGCTACATAGTGAGACCCTATTTAAATTAAAAATAAAAAAAAATTTAAAAATCATAAATTCTCAAGTGACAGACTGCTTCAGAAAAATCCCAGATGGGCAGCTCTTGGAGATTCCCTGAATGCCGGGGGCAAGGAACAAGCCTGAAGGTCCCTGTACCAAGTGCTTATGGGGGGCCTCACGAAGGATGCAGAAACCCACTCCAGATTCTTCCTGTGGACCTCTGTTTCAAGCAGGGCAAGCATCTCCTGCTGCCTGAACCCGGCTAGATCTCATCGTACTCGGCCTCTCCTACCCTCGTCCCTTCTTTATCCAGAAAGTCCCGCTTCTCCCCTGGAATTTCCATGCTGCTCCAGCCCGTGAGCTGGAAAGCTTCCTCTGAATTCCCAGAGGCTGAGGGCATGGGTTCCCGGACGGGGCACTGGGCGCTGGGCAGGGAGAGCCTTGCCTAAAAGAAATACTTGGAAACACTTTGCTGAGCGCAGGATTGGATAAACCGCAGGGAGGAGCCGAAGTGGGCGTTGTCACTGACTGGACGCGCAGACAGAAGCCGGAGCAGCCTGCGCGCTGGGTCAAGAGAGGAAACGGTGATGGAGAGGAAGCGAGCGTGGCTATAAGCAGTCTAACCGCAGAGGGCCGTGTCTTGTTTGTTCTCTGCCCGCGACGGCTTTTAGAAACTCAAAGTTTTAGCCTTATTTCGGGATTAGGTCTCTGGTCGGAAGCCTCCTCTATTGGCTCAGCTGGAGACAGGGAGGGGCCCTTGGAGGAGGACCGGCCCTCCCTCCATCAGACTCAGCAGCACTTTCATCATTTCGTGGGAATCGGAAGGTGGAGGAGGAAGCGTGGAGGGCAGAAGGGCCTGCCCGGTTGGGGTTCTTCCGCAGGCAGCCGTTAGCCGTCTCTACCCCCCTGACAACAGTGCAGAATTGTGTAACGGCCCAGTTTCCCCTTTCTCCGCGGTTCCCAGAAGCTTTGAGCCAGCCCCTGCTACCTGAGGGTGTCCGATTCTGTACCCCGCTGGGTTGGTTCCGCTTCATATATCTGCTTTTTCTCGTTAACCTGCTGAAATTTGCCTTAAGCTCTGTGTAAAATAAGAAGGAACAATGGGTGCGGTGGATCCTAGCCTTTGGGAGGTTGATGTGGAAGGGTCTTGGCTGACGAGAGAGATGAGACCAGCTTGGGTTAAATGAGACTTGCTTCTTTTCTTCTTTCTTTTTCTTTCTTCTTCCTTCTTTCTCCTCCTCCTTCTCTTCTTCCTCCTCCTCTTCTCCCTTCTTGTCTTCTTTTTCTTTTCTCTCTTTTCTTCCTTCTTCCTTTTTCTTTTCTCTTTTTTTTTTTTTGGGAGGGGGAGTTTGTTTTTTGTTTTTTGAGATGGTTTCCCTGTGTGTGGCCCTGACTGTCTTGGAACTCACTCTGTAGCCCAGGCTGGCCTGGAACTCACAGAGATCGGCCTGCCTCTGCCTCCCGAGTGTGCGCCACCACCCAGCTTGGAGACCTTTTCTTAATTAAGCTCTCCTCAGATGACTTTAGCTTGTGTCAAGCCGACATAAACCTGGGCAGCACAGAAAGCTGAGAGAGCAAAAGGTCCCAGCTGTTGACTGGAATGGCTGAGATACAGGCTCAGGTCTTGGTGATAAACTTGGGCTTCTAGTACCTTACCCACAAGGCCATGCATGGGAACGGAGAGCAAAAATAACAATGGGTGGATTCCCAGACCAGAGGGTTGGGGGATGCTTTTCTTTCTTTCTTTCTTTCTTTCTTTCTTTCTTTCTTTCTTTCTTTCTTTCTTTCTTTGTTGTTGTTTTAAGATTTATTTATTTATTACACACACAGTGTTCTGCCTACATACCAGACGAGGGCACTAGATTGAATTATAGATAGTTGTGAGCTACCATGTGAGTGCTGGGAATTGAACTCAGGACCTCTGGAAGAGTAGCCAGTGCTCTTAACCACTGAGCCATCTTGGGGGATACTTTCTTCCTGTACACCTGCTCTAATATAATACTGAAGGTTTGTTTGTCCCTGACGTGGGTCCTCCTGTATTGGCCCAGGCTGGCCTCTCACCTTCCTCCTGCCTCAGCCACCCAAGGTCTGGGATCTCAGGTGTGCACCACCACACCCCAGGTTACACTAACATCTGTAACACAAATGGAGACTATTGCCAGGTTTGTGATGTCTCAATTATAGTTAAGACAGTGATGAGCCCGCTCCCATATGACTCAATTCCCCTCCAATCCAAGAGATGCTGGCTTTGAACTCTCTTGAACTTCCTACCCCGCCTCCACCCTCCAAAGGGCTGGGATTACAAGTGTATGCCACCATTACTGTCTTTAACGACAGACAGTGGAATTATCTGAGGGAGACGGGCCCTGCCATGGTGGGGCCCGATGAGCCTGAAACCTCCAGAGCAGTTAGGGAAGGACAGAAAGTCTAGTAAAAGCTGGTGCCAAAGTCTTGAGTTCAAAGGTAATCTGAGAACAGAATCCTTCCTCCTCCAGGAAACCGCAGCCTTGATTGTCTAACTGGACGAGGGCCACCACATTTTGGAAGGGAATCTGGCTTTTTTGTTTTTGTTTTGTTGCTTATTTGAAACTCAAATGTAGCCAAGGATGGCCTTGAACTTCTGTTGGGATTATGGGCATGTACCACAAGGAAATCTGTTTTACTCAAAGTCCACTGATTAAAAAATTAATCCTATCTCCCAAATGCTTCACAGAAACATAAATAGTGCTGGGTTTTGTTTTGTTTTGTAGTCAGGGTGGTTCTCAGGGCCTTGGGCATTCAAGTCTAGTTACCACTAAATTACAGCCTCAGCCTCAGAACGATATTTGCTCCAACAACCAGGCTGACACACCAGGTTCGTCATCTTAAGACACCCACTAGCATTGGCCCGGGCCTTGATTAAGACGTGTGCTTCAGAATAGTTTGGAGGGCTCACATACGGGGTGCTCAGGCCTGTGTGAGTCTTATCAGGTCGTGGGACAATGCTGATCCTTTCTCTACAGCCTGACAACTGTCTCAGTGGCAGCCACTGATGGTTCCATTCTTGGAGAGCGGCCTGGTGCCCCATCCTCCAGGTCTTCACTGCGGCTCTCCTTTGCTCAGAAGACATGGTCACCCTTGAGCTCCCCCCTGAGGACGATGGTGGTACTACACTTGCTAAAAGGTGCTGGGATCGCTAACGTTTCTTCCGGGTCAGACCTCACCAGAGCACGGCCTTTCTTAGGCATGAAAGAGGTGATCCTAGAGTATCTGCTCCACTTCACACACGACAACCTCCTAAGGGACAGCCCGGCTTTACCTGCAGTCGGTTAGAGCCACCCCTAGGGCAATCATTTGCATTTTCTTCCAGTCCCGACAGACTGCTGCTTGTGTGCTGTTTCTAATAACCCACTTTCCCTTTCCTCGCCTCCCTTGAAGCAATCTAGAATATTCTCCAGGAGTCTACTTGACACCTGGGAATCCTACCCTCGGGAGCTGAGACCCAGGACTGTGATACAGAATCCTCTCAGGACAGCTGCGGCTGCTAGGCTCCTGGAGACTGCTGGGGATGTTTGTTCTGTTCCTCTGTCTCCAGGCTAGGGTCCCCTTGGGAACCAAAAGCACAGGCGGAGTTTCTGGTTCTGGATCCCTGTCTACAAAGGGAGGCAGAGGCAGATGGATCTCTCTGAGTTTGAGCCTACAGAGCAAGTTCCAGGACAGCCAGGACTACACAGAGAAACTCTGTCTCAAAAAAAAACCAAAACCAAAAACACAAAAACCAAAACAAAAAAAGCTCTAGTTTCCTTCTCAATTCCAAGAGCAGGGGCTCTGGGTTGTGGTGTACATATGAGGCACACAGAAGTATACTAACAGGCCTCTCCGGGACCCAACTCTCGAATTGTATAGTGTACCTCATTTTCATTATCCATCCACCAGTTGATGGACAGCTAGGCTGTTTCCAATTTCTGGCTATTATGAATAGAGCAACAACGAACATGGATCAACAAGTGTCTCTATTGTAGGATGAAGAGTCCTCCGGGTAGATGCCCAAGAGTGGCAAAGCTGGATCTTGAGGTAGATCTACCCCCAGCTTCCTGTGGACGCCATACTGCTTTCCACAGTGACTGTACAAGTTTGTACCCCCACCAGCAATGGATGAGTGTTCCTCTTACCGCACATCCTCACCAGCATGAGCTCTCGTTTATTTTATTGATCTTGGCCATTCTGACTGATGTAAGATGAAATCTCAAGTTTTAATCTGCATTTCTCTGACGGTTCAGGATGTTGACCATTTTTAAGTGTTTCTCAGCCATTTGTGATTCATCTTTTGAGAATCTTCTCCTTAGTTCTGCACCCCATTTTTTCATTGAGCTGTTTCTTGATGTTTGATTTTTTTTTTTTAGTTCATGTGTTTTAGATACTAACCCTCTCTCACATGTATGAAGATCTTGAGATCTCTAATATCCTTTGCCGTACAGATGTTTTTTCAGCTTCAAGAAGTCCCATTTATTTTTCTCCTTTGTGCCTGTGCTACTGGTATTCTGTTCAAAGTCTTTTCCTGTGCCAATGAGTTCAAGACTATTCCTCATTTTGTCTTCTATCAGATCCAGGGCATCTGGTCTTATGGTGAGGTCTCTGATCCATTTGGAGATGAGTTTTGTCCAAGGTAACAAATATGGACCTACCTGCATCCTTCTACAGGTAGCCTCCAGTCTGAATGGCACCATTTGTTGAAGATGCTGTTTTTTCTCCAGTGTGTAATTTTGATTTATCAAATCAGCTGTCTGCCAGGTGTGGTGGTATAGCCTTTAATCCCAGCACTCAGGAGGCAAAGGCAGACTCATCTCGAGGAATTTGAGGCCAGCCTGGTTTACAGAGTGAGTTCCAGGACAGCCAGGGCTGTTACACAGAGAAACTTTGTCTCGAAAAAACAAAAAACAAATGAAACAAAAAATTCTACTTTGTCTTGAAATGTTTCCATTTTTTTTTTTTTT